TCCCTTACTTCTCCATAGAAATACTTAGACACCTCTTTCATAGCTATAGTTGAAGTCGTTCAATAATCAAGAAGGTGTTTCAGATCTTATTGGGTGAATATATTGTATGAACAAAATCTAAAAATAGGTTACGTTGCACTAGAGCTGCACAAAGGGATATTGGCGACTGTCTGGGAAACATCCCTGTGGATGATCCGAAGAGATGCCATCGCAATTTTGATCCTCTGCAGATGGGCTCCCTTGGTATGGTAGCCCGGTGACCTGCGCACGAATACAAGCACTTTACTGTAGAACAGTTTAAAGAGGACCAATGCCGCGTACCCTCGATTACTCCGCAGGCTGATCAAAGTGGTCACCTTCCTGACCTCAGCTAGTGATGCTTGACTTCGCTATTGAATACAGGGAACCGTGTCTTTACGATCAGTCGACTGCGGGACAATTGTAAAATAGAAAATAAATTTTATCTAATTTTTTCAACTATATATATATATATATATATTTAATCACTGTCCTTTGTGCAGCTCTAGTGCGACTTAAATGAACTACAACAACAGCTCCACCAATATTATTTTAAGTGAAAGTAAGTTAATACCCATAGCGCGCAAATAAAAGCGAAATTAAAGTTAATACCCATAGTACGTAAATAAAAACGAAATTAAAGTTAATACCCATAGTACGTAAATAAAAACGAAATTAAGTTAATACCCATAGTACGTAAATAAAAACGAAATTAAGTTAATACCCATAAAGCGTAAATAAAAACGAAAGTAAGTTAATACCCATAGCGCGCAAATAAAAACGAAATTAAGTTAATACTCATAGTACTTAAATAAAAACAAAATTAAGTTAATACCCATAGTGCATAAATAAAAACGAAATTAAGTTAATACCCATAGTACGTAAATAAAAACTAAATATTTTATATGAAATTCTACACCATAAAAAAAAAAGACTGTTAACTATACCTGGACATTTTATGTTGCTGGAATATACGCATTTCTTATCGAAGTAATCAAAGACCAGCCCTTCAGGACATTCATATTTATAGGCTCTGTTCCTTTGACACAGAAAGAAGGTACCGCACTCTGTTGGATGCCGAAATATTCCTGTTTCTTTCGGGCATGTCAAAACTGACATGATTCCAGGTGGAGCTAGTTCAAATACAATCACTTAATATTAATTCAAACTTTAATTCGCTTTATCTACTTAAATAAATAACTGTCATTTCATTTCAGCAGTGATAATTTTAATTACAAAGTAAAATTATTGATATAAACAAAACAAAAAATACATATATTGCCTTGAAAATATGCTAAATATTATTAAAAAGTAATTTTACCAACACATGAGTTAGAGATGATTTTATTCCTTTTTTAGAGAAAGGTGCAAAATTTTATATTTGCACGAGCTGAATGAATCGTACCACTTTTCACATTTACATTTTTATCAGACACAAATCACTGACAACAACAACAGCTCAAGGAGGTGGATAATGCCACAGTAGCAAGTCAACTTTTCAATATAGTTGTGTTCAAATTGAAGTGGGAGTTTCTGTGAAGGTAGGCGTGTCCACATCAGGTCCGGGTCACCAATGTGGGGACAGTAGTTATCGACAATGTCAACCTTTATCAATGAAAATGTATACCCCACTTAACCAGTTAAAGTGGCTTATATACTAGTCAATTGGATTTGCATTTTCGTAGTAGTAGTAGACACACTGCAAACAGTGTTATAAATTTAAAGCGGAGAGTATCGCTTTGAACAGGGAAAACTTTACTCCATCTACATGTTGATTCTAATGGGACAATAATGTACTTTTTTTTAATTTTCTATGAGCTGCACAATCAGTCTTCCCGATGAGCAGACCTAGTGCGCTCTCCAGAAGTGGTATCCACTCTTTCAAGACCACCACAATGGGTGAGATACCGTTGGCCATGTTATTTGGACGTCTAGTTTCTGCCACACTAGATGGCAGGCACCGAGACTCTACAGGGTAACAAAAAATTATAGGGATCATTTTCGAATGTTTTTATTTCCAAGATTTATTACATANGATGCTAAAGTGCACTAGGAATTTAATTTTGTCGGAAATGCCAAGAGCCAATAAGGCACCCCAGGGATCTTTTACTAGCCGCATAATCATACGACACGGCCGCGGAGGATTTTCTGAGAGACAATAATATTGGTGACGGAAAATTTGGAAGTAGCAGCGAAATTTAAACCTAAATTAAGGACTTCTTTGTGCTGAGATTGATAGAAGATAAATTAACGTAAGAATGTTGGGTAGTGGCTTGACACTTGATGAGATTGTTTAGTAACCGAAATCAGATTATTTAATGTTTTACTAAGATAACAGGAATGGGAAAGTCCCAATATGTTTGAGCGAGTTATTAAAAAAGTTCATAAATCAAATAGATGCATCATTCGCAATAGTTTCCAAGTTTCAAAATATTCCCTGAAGAATCTTTTAGTAATAAGGAGTTTATAAATTTGCGTATCAGGTATTGATATCCATCTCTTTTCTTATTAAGGTTTTGCACTGTTTCAATACTTTGTTCAAATTTGTTTCTCACGCTCTATTTCTTTAACTGTTAAGTATTACTATTTTAATGAAATATCTTAATTTTTAATCGTATCTAAAGAAGAAGTCATACAAGTATCGAATTTAAAATAATATCTACTTAGTTATAATATCGACATTTTCGAAGATTCAAAGAGCGATTTTAATTTCGAGGATTCAAGGAACAATTTTTCGGAAAAGTTCGATGTAGGAGTTGTAGTCGAAGGTTTTAACTACCATCTATTGGTCATTGTCCAATCGGCGGTCCCATCAGTCACGGAGAATCTCGATACTTTTTTCAATTGCGTACTAAATTATTACTTTTTTTTTCAATAAACTTTAATATTAAAGGGGGTTTTATCTTGAAATAAATGTCCTGTGGTATAGAACTGTCGTTAAATTCGAAAAAATATAGGCTAAAAATGTCATTTGTAAGAGACTTGCAACTCCACTCATTATAACTTGAAACCAAATTTACAGAATGTTTACATACAAAATGCTCTTAAAGCTACATATTAAAAAAAAAACATTTTAAACATTTTTATAGTCTGTCTAAGCTAAGAACTCCTCCCGACACAAAGTCTAAAGCCGTCTGGTGCTATGGAAACAAGATTGACGCATTTTAGGGAGGGTAGCTTCACTCAAGGACTAACACAATAGACCGAAGGAAAAGATTCCCTTTCTCTCGTCGACCCGACCCCGCACCCCTACTAGAAATAGTCATACCTCGTTACCATAGTCACCGCCATAGGTCTAGACGAATGACTGGAGGAGTTCTTATTTTAGACAAACTATAGTCTATTTTTGTTCGAAAAAGTTATATTTAACAGTAGGCCGTGTAAAAGTTATGACAAATTTTGATTTAATTTGTTCATTTACGTCGCACTAGAGCTGCACAATGGGCTATTGGCGACGGTCTGGGAAACATTAAAACTTTTTTT